CGCCAGGTCCCGGATGTTAGCAAGGTCCCACCAGGTCCCGGATTTTGGACAGGTCCCAGATGTTGGACAGGTCCCACCAGGTCCCAGATGTTGGACAGGTCCCGGATGTTGGACAGGTCCCACCAGGTCCCAGATGTTGGACAGGTCCCACCAGGTCCCAGATGTTAGACAGGTCCCACCAGGTCCCGGATGTTAGACAGGTCCCACCAGGTCCCGGATGTTGGACAGGTCCCGGATGGTGGACAGGTCCCACCAGGTCCCGGATGTTAGACAGGTCCCACCATGTCGCAGATGTTAGACAGGTCCCGGATGTTGGACAGGTCCCACCAGGTCCCAGAAGTTAGACAGGTCCCACCAGGTCCCGGATGTTGGACAGGTCCCAGATGTTGGACAGGTCCCAGATGTTGGACAGGTCCCAGATGTTGGACAGGTCCCACCAGGTCCCAGATGTTGGANCACCAGGTCCCGGATGTTGGACAGGTCCCACCAGGTCCCGGATGTTGGACAGGTCCCACCAGGTCCCGGATGTTAGACAGGTCCCACCAGGTCCCAGATGTTGGACAGGTCCCACCAGGTCCCGGATGTTGGACAGGTCCCAGATGTTGGACAGGTCCCACCAGGTCCCAGATGTTAGACAGGTCCCACCAGGTCCCGGATGTTGGACAGGTCCCGGATGTTGGACAGGTCCCAGATGTTGGACAGGTCCCAGATGTTGGACAGGTCCCAGAAGTTAGACAGGTCCCACCAGGTCCCGGATGTTGGACAGGTCCCACCAGGTCCCAGAAGTTAGACAGGTCCCACCAGGTCCCAGATGTTGGACAGGTCCCACCAGGTGCCCGAAGTTCGACAGGTCCCAACAGGTCCCGGATGTTGGACAGGTCCCGGATGTTGGACAGGTCCCAGATGTTGGACAGGTCCCAGATGTTGGACAGGTCCCAGATGTTGGACAGGTCCCACCAGGTCCCAGATGTTAGACAGGTCCCACCAGGTCCCGGATGTTGGACAGGTCCCACCAGGTCCCGGATGTTAGACAGGTCCCACCAGGTCCCGGATGTTGGACAGGTCCCAGATGT